TTATGTTTATTATGGAACGTGCGCATAAAATTGTCTAAGATTGGAAATGCATTCATTTGCAAACTCATTTATATATATATATATATATATATATATATATATATATATATATATAGATAGATAGATAGATAGATAGATAGATAGATAGATAGGTAGATATACACGGATGTTTGTATATATAAATATAAATAAAATTGTCTAAGCGTGTGTGAATATATTTCTTTGCAAACACATATAAACATGTACACATACAAAAATGTATATATGCAAGAGTTTTATTACGATACTGGGATATACATGATTGAGCAGATAGATAGATAGATAGATAGATAGATAGATAGATAGATAGATAGATAGATAGATGAGGAGTGAGAGAGATAGAGAGAGAAAGACAATGGGAGAGAGTGATAGACGTCTTTTCATATTTTACTCAATGCTACAATCGGCAATTATGTGAAATATCATCCCCTCTTTAAGTACCAATAATCTGGAAAGCAGGAAATTAATGTCCGGTCTGCTTAATACATTAGATGAAAGCACATATAATGTAGATAATGCAGCGAACGTTGACTTCAGCATCTATACTGCAATGCACGTGGCTCTGAGCATGCGCGTACAAAATCTGGCGCATACGCGCATGCTCGATTTATGACTTCGGTCAGCATTTACTAGAATTACTGATGTCGGTGGTGTAAGCTATAATATTTTTCTATTAAATGTTCAGCTAACCTGGCATCAATTTGTTAAAATCATGTTATATATTTCGAACTACTTACACTGACTGGTCAACTCGTAAAAAATATGAAAGAGATTTTATGAGTAGGTTCTATTCTTAATACAAATAGAGTGTTTATAAAATAATGTGGCTTCCCTGAAATTTTCATGACAATTGTTATGATGGCCTTTCTTTCTTTTATACGTATGGGAATTATTAGGACATTATGAGGACTTGAGGTATTATGGAAGCTGTAGTAAGAATGGTAAATTAGAATGGGTTGTTTTGGCGTAAGTAATACTGTTTGTATGTTTGACTAGCTAAGTTTAAGATGAGACAGATTGAAGACCAGCCTTGTGCCACATTTTTTTCTATGTTTCAAAATGAATATCGTTTTCTTCCTTAGTACCTCGACTTTATAAATTTAAGCGTAGTACCAGATTGGCGGTAACGATTCATCATTTTATAGTTGAAATGGCTAGATGTAGCCGTAAGTTCTAGGTTAACAGTTTCTTCTCTTGCACTTCTTGCTTGTGGAATTCTTTTCCGTCTTCTTGTTTTCTAGTCAACATTGATCTTCCAAAATTTAAATGCAATGCCAATCGTCATCTTCTGTCTTCTTAATTCTTTTTTTGTTCTGTTCTCTCTCCGTAATCTTATTGTTTTTTCTCATATTCTTTAACACTCAGTAACCCACTGCACCTTAGTGGCTTTATTGCCTTGCTTGAAGGTGAAATATTTTTTTAAAAGTATCATATTGTGTAATCCTTTTAATCTGTACTTTGTTTTTATTTACTCATGTCGCGAATTAATTGATAAGATACACGGTGTATCGTCTCAATGTTTCTCGGGTAGTTTTTTCGAGTCCAAGATTTACTTTCTACATGAATCTAACTTATCTCTTCCAAATACATAAAGATCAATATATATAAACAAAATATTCACGAGATAGCCTTTCATGAAAAATTGTTCAAAATATCCTGCAGCGTCTCACTAACCTTTACATACTTTAACATCTAGAATGTTTTCTTACATTTGTTTACATAGTACCTGTTATTTCCTTATACTTGACACCTATTTTCATACAATTTAGCCTCGAGAACGTTTGCCACACATATGTATATATTATCTGTTGCTTCATTACACGTGACACGTCCTAAGCAATAAAAAATAACCAATCTAATCATACCATTAATCTGTGTCACTTTGCTTTTTATCATTTTTTATATTTTCTAGAGTGAAACTATAATTTGAAAATTGGAAAATTATAGGTTTCGCTTATACTCCTAATAGTCTTAGAGATAGGTGTAACTTGTGTTCAGAAGACAAAACTAAAATACTAAAATACATTTATCAAAGAAAACTATTAAATCAAGGGAATGAATTAGTTTTAAAATGTCATATAGTGTAATCTTTTTAATCTGTACATTGTTTTTATTTACTCATGTCGGGAATTAATTGATGAGATACTCAGTGGGGCGTCTTAATTTTTCTCGAGTAGTTCTTTCGAGTCCAATAATAACTTTCTATCCCACTAGACACATCAAAACAAAAAAGATGTTATAAAATAAAATGCGAGGCCAATTTTACTAATTTGCAGCTCTCTCTGGATCGGCATCACCTCACCTGTCTACTATCTGCTTCACAACTGAGTAGTGGCGCCTGGCTCAACCAGTGCCCTCTTCATCTACTGCTAGATGATGAGTGCATTCGGGTCGGTGTCGCGATCCGTCTTGGACTCAAATTATGTGAGCGTCTCAGATGCAGATGTCGAGCCTCGATCGATGGGTTTGGTTTGCATCCTCTCTCCTGTCGTCGTAGTGCCGGCCGCTTTCCTAGGCATGCAGCAATAAACGACATCATCAGAAGAGGTTTGATGAGGCTGGGTTCCCTTCCCAAATCGAATCTGTAGGCCTCGACCGTGGTGATGGAAAGCGGCCGGATGGCATTACCATTTTCCCTTTTAAAATGGGGAAGTCGTTGATTTGGGATGCGACCTGTGCGGATACATTTTCGGCAGGTAATTTGATCAGGTCCGCGGTTGAGCCAGGATCCGTCGCCCGGGACGCAGAGAAGAAAAAAATAGTTAATTATTCTTCTCTTGCTGATAGATTTTTTTTTACTCCTGCGGCAGTGGAGACTTCTGGGGTTATTGGCCCTCATTCGATGGCGTTCCTTCGGAGGATTGGCAGGATTACATATCAATTAAGGGACGAGCCTCGCGAAACGGAGTGGCTCTTGCAGCGTGTCTCACTGACGATGGAGCGAGATAAGCGTTTCTCCATCAAGGCGGCTGGCAGAGGATAGCAAAAAAAACAAAAAAAAAAAAACATTTTGTTTATAGTTACTTTGCTTAAACTTGTTTTCAATAAGATTTATTCATGTCAAATTTAAAAACAGTACTTACATCATTGATAACTGCGTCCTACTGATCTTTTTCGTAATAGTACGCAGTTATCCATGATGTAAGCACAATTTTGCGTAGATGGTTTCGAAAGTTATCAAATTAGACCTAATTTGATAACTTTCAAAAGCGTCTACGCGAAATTGTGCTTACGTCATCGATAACTGCGTACTATTACGAATTACGTAAAAGAACATCAGTAGTACGCAATTATCCATGATGTAAGTACTGTTTTTAAATTGTCTGACTTTAAGTTTTAGCTTGAGCGTAATAAAAGTGACTTAATACACTGTATGCTATTCTCACTACATCCATTACTGAAATTCGAAGGCGGATCGGGATAGCAAAAGATGC